TCCTTTATATAGTTGTCTGGCAGGTTCCATTGTTGAAGCTGATCATGGTATCCAGAGAGATTTCCACCACAACTTCAACAACCACTACCCATCCATTAAACTCTCTCTGGAACACTCCCACACTAGCATCAACTTCCTGGATACCACCATCAACTTCAACAATGGAACCTAAAGAATACCATATACAAGAAACCCACAGATCACCACATTTACCTTCAGAGATCCAGCAGCCATCCCAAATGCACCAAGAAATCTATAGCCAGGCACTCAAATACCATAGAATATGTTCCAAGGAGAAAGTCCAGTATAAACACACTAAAACCACCTTCTCCAAAAAAGGACACTTTACCAGAGAAGTAGATCATATCATGGAATGGACCACCCAAATAACCTGAGAGAACCTGCTTCAGTATGGAAATAAAAAACCCCTCTGACCCCACACCCCTAGTTAGGTTTCAAAGTAGCAGCCGTGTTAGTCTGTATTCGCAAAAAGAAAAGGAGGACTTGTGGCACCTTAGAGACTAACAAATTTATCTGAGCATAAGCTTTCGTGAGCTACAGCTCACTTCATCGGATGCATTCAGTGGAAAATACGGTGGGGAGATTTATATACATAGAGAACATGAAACAATGGGTGTTACCATACACACTGTAACAAGAGTGATCTCTTAAGGTGAGCTATTACCAGCAGGAGAGCGGGGGGGACGGGGACCTTTTGTAGTGATAATCAAGGTGGGCCATTTCCAGCAGTTGACAAGAACGTCTGAGGAACAGTGGGGAGCGGAGGGGGGGAATAAACATGGGGAAATAGTAATGACCCATCCACTCCCAGTCTCTATTCAAGCCTAAGTTAATTGTATCCAGTTTGCAAATTAATTCCAATTCAGCAGTCTCTCGTTGGAGTCTGTTTTTGAAGTTTTTTGTTGAAGATTTGCGACTTTTAGGTCTGTAATCAAGTGACCAAAGAGATTGAAGTGTTCTCCAACTGGTTTTTGAATGTTATAATTCTTGACATCTGATTTGTGTCCATTTATTCTTTTACGTAGAGACTGTCCAGTTTGACCAATGTACATGGCAGAGGGGCATTGCTGGCACATGATGGCATGTATCACATTGGCAGATGTGCAGGTGAACGAGCCTCTGATAGTGTGGCTGATGTGATTAGGCCCTATGATGGTGTCCCCTGAATAGATATGTGGACACAGTTGGCAACGGGCTTTGTTGCAAGGATAGGTTCCTGGGTTAGTGGTTCTGTTGTGGGGTGTGTGGTTGCTGGTGAGTATTTACGAAACCCATATGGGGTATCATTAAACAATTACAACCCATACTTCAGGGGGACTACATCCTGAAATAAATCTTCCTGAAAGATCTTTCCCTCCTCTTCTGGCCTTCAAACAACCCCCCAGCCTCTTCAAACTCATTATCAGAAGCAAGCTTCCCACAGACCAGGACATACCAACTCAAAGCGGCACCAGACGCTGTCAGAATAGATGCAAAACCTGTAGACATATCTCCACTGCTAGGATGATCAACAACTCCAACAACACACCTTTCAAGATCCATGGATCCTACACATGCCTATCACGACATATGGTGTACCTCATCCAGTGCACTAAATGCTCCAGTCACAACTATGTGGCTGAAACCAGACAATCACTGTTCTCTCAAATGAACTTATACAGGAAAATGATAAAAGTCAAAAACACCATATCCCCTGTGGGTGAACACTTTTCACAAAACAATCCGTCTGTATCTGACCACTTAGTCCTCATTCTCAAGGGAAATCTGCACAACAACTTTAAAAGATGAGCCTGGGAGCTTAAATTAATAACTTTGCTGGACACTAAGGCCATGTCTACTCTAGCACTTATGACGGCAAAACTTTTGTCACTCAGGGATGTGAAAAAAGCACCTCCCTGAGTGTCATAAGTTTTTCTGGCATAAGCACCGGTGTGCACAGTGCTGCTGGAGGAGACACTCTCCAGACAATATAGCTACCACCACGCTTTGAGCTGGTTTTATTATGTTGATAGGCGAGCTCTCTCCCGTCTGCATAACGCAGCTACATGAGCACTCTTACACTCATGTAAGCTTAAGCTTGTAAGTGTAGACATGGCCTAAAATCATGGACTGAATAGAGACAATGGACTTATGACTTATTACAACAATCTATAACCCACTAGCAACACCCAGCCCCAGATGCTTTTTCCCCCCTCCCTTCCTTTCTCCCTCTGTGACTGGAAGATTGTTAATAGGCCACTTCACCTTGAATGGTTCTTTAAAATACATGTTAACTACTTATCCTAAACAATCTGTTCCAATTTGTATTTAGCTGTGACACTCTGAGGCTTGCAGCGTTTCTCAACCTGGGGTCCCCTGGGGGGGTCCCAAGCAGGTTTCAGGGGGTCTGCCAAGAAGGGCTGGCATTAGACTTGCTGGGGCCCAAGACAGAAAGCTGAAACCCCACTGCCCGGGGCTAAAGCCCAGGGCTGAAGCTGAAGCCTGAGCAACTTAGCTTCACAGGGCCCCCGGTGGTGTGGAGCCCCAGGCAATTGCCCTGCTTGCTATCTCTTAACACTGGCCCTGGCTTTTATATGCAGAAAAACGTTTGTTGTGGCACATGTGGCCATGGAGTTTTTATAGCATGTTGTGGGGGCCTCAAAAAGAAAAAGGTTGAGAACTTCTGCTCTACACTACAGAGTTAGGTCGATGTAAGCCTTACGCAGACCTAATTACATCAGTGTACACACTACAGCCTTGCTCCCCCCAGTGTAAGTGCCCTACTACATTGACATAACTCCACCTCCATGAAAGGCATAGGGCTTGTCAGCATAGTTAGGGCAATACAGTGTCCATGTAGACACTGCATTACTTATATTGGCTGCTGGCTGTCATTCTTGTCAATTTCTAGGGGGCAGCAGGGGTGGCGGGGCAGCCAGGCTCTAGCTGTCACCGCGGGGCGGGAGGGCAGGGTTCCAGCTAGAGCCTGGCTGCCCCCTCAGGATTCCTGCTCCCAACCAGGCTGTGGCTGACCCACTTCCTGCTAGAAGCCATTCTGCCCCCAGATCCCCCAACCCAGCTGCTGCCCAGGCTCACAGCTTCGAACCGAGCTGCACCCACCTGGCTCCCTGCTCCCAGCTGGGTCCTGCCCAGTGGCTCCAAGCTCCCTGCTGGGAGCCCTGGTGCTGCCTGGAGGCTCCCCACTCCCTGCAAGAAGCCCAAACGTTGCACCAAGGCTCCCAGCTCACTGCCAAGAGCCTAGAACCACCTGGCTGCAGCAGGTTGCTGAGAGCCCAGGATGCTGCCGGGCTCCTGGTGGCAGGGAGCGGGAGCCGAGAGCCTGCAGGAATCAACTTCTTTTGAGCTTACAAAGAGCTCTTCTTCAGGTCTGGTAAACATACTCAGAGCATCACAAGGTAAAACAGATTGTTTATTGTAAGTAATTAACACAAGTACAACAACACTGCAAGCCAGGGAGTGGAGCATTCCTCAGAGTATTGAGAGGAGCTGCAAAGGTGACATAAAGGAACCTTGGGCAGCCTCCGCGAAGATGCGTAAAGATCTGTTGGACTACAACACAGAATTGGGTCATAACCCACTCATATTGCACATGTGATATTAATGTATACGTTAAACAGTGTAATAAGAAAAATACTGATTATTTGAAATGTTGGTAAGAATATGTTGCTTTGAGACTTTTTTCCTCCACTTGTCCACAAATCATCCCCTACCCAACCTGCATACCTTCTAACTGCACTGGTTCTGCTCTGTGGCTCTTTTGGTTATGGAGGAAAGGGCAAGTAAGGCCCTTATAATTTAGTAATTTGTAAGTATCTGTTTATTTCCCAATCTTCAAGTGATCATTTTTCCTCACACCTAAGCCTCAGAACTTGGCTAATTAACAATACTCTGAAGAAAATCACCACTGGACTGGGACCAGGCAATACAAATTTCCGCCCAAAGGCAGAATATGTGGGGAAGTTTGAGGATGGAAAACGGTGGGGTATGGGGAGAAGATAGTGGAAATCAGTTTACGAATGTCATCCATCATAGCTAACACCTGTTAAAGGATGGCACAAGTCTCATGGGGACTTTGTCCACACTTGGCCCCCTTGGACAGACTCAGGGGAAGCCAAAGGCAGCATTGTCTGTGTGTGGTGGTTCCTGTGAGGCTAAGCTGGAGCACAGAGAAGCATTCCATGGGAGTTTCAGTCCCGGTAGCTGCCATGCGCAGGTGGCCTTTGGGTGCCAGGGGCAAAGCCACCCTTCCTGTGCTGTGGTTTGCTCAGATTTCCACGCTGTGGCAACTGATGCATTGGCAGTTGATTTAGCTACCATCTATCGCTCTCCCGTCGACTCCTGTACTCCACCTCATCGAGGGTACATCTTCACTACCCACCAGATCTATGGGCTGCAATCGATCCAGCAGGGACTGATTTATCCCATCTAGTGAAGACACGATAAATCGATCCCCGAGCGCTCTCCCGTCGACTCCTGTACTCCAGCACGGAAAGAGGCGCAGGCAGAGTCGACAGGGGAGCAGCAGCAGTCGACTCACCGCAGTGAAGACACCATGGTAAGTCAATCTAAGTATGTCGGCTTCAGCTATGTTATTCATGTAGCTGAAGTTGCCTGACTTAGATCAATCCCTTCTCCCTCCCCCTCGCCTCCAGAGAAGAACAGCGCTGAAAAAAAGTAAGGGGGGGGGTCAACGGGAGAGCGTCTTCTGTCGACCTAGCGTAGTGTGGACCCCCTGGTAAGAAGATCTAAGCTACGTCGATTCCAGTTATGCTATTCACGTAACTCAAATTGCGTAGCGTAGATCGACTAGGCCTAAGAAGGGCGCTGAGGTGAGCTCTTTGTTCCCGGGGCAGCCGTGGGAAGGAGGCGATTGGGCCATGGCCAAGCAACCCCTGGCCAAGCAGCCCCGCCCAACTTCCTCCAAGCAAAGGCCACCTCCCAGCCTCTGCGGGAACTACAGCTACAGTCGCGCGCTCTGCGCTGGGCGGAGCAAGGGGCAGCTACGTTCCGCTTTCTTCTGTCGGGCGCGCGCCGGCGCCGCCGCCGTGAGGCTGTTGGCGCTGGGGGGGACATGGCGTCGCTGCTGCCGCGCATTGAGCGGCTCTCATCGCGGGTGGTGCGCGTGCTGGGCTGTAACCCGGGCCCCATGACCCTGCAGGGGACCAACACCTACCTGGTGGGGACCGGGCCCAGGTAACAGCCCCGCCCTTCAGCCGAGCGCGGGCTAGCGCCACGGCCACGGCGCCGGCAGCTTCAGCCCGCTCTGACTCTGCCCCGCGGCCGCCGCGCCGCTGGAACCCCGCAGACGCCGCCTGGCTGAGGCTGGAGCTCGGTCGCCGGAGTGTGGGAGTGGGGCCATGCTCTCTGCGCTGTTGTGCCTTTTAGGGGGGCTTTCGGGGGTCACGGGAAGCCTAGGGCGTCGGGTTGGGAGACCAGGGGCAGCGAAGGGTTCCCCCGGCTCTGGCACACAATTTTGTCCGTTTGTATGCTGGGATTCTGGGTCCGTCAGGATTTCACCTTCCCTGTCTTCCTTCCAGAGAGGTTCTACATCTTTCACGTAGTTCCCTTGGCATATTTGTTCTGAGTTCAGTGTTAAGGTCCATGGTCCAGCATAGTCAGTGATTTACCTCAGGGCCTGATGACAACAGGTCTTGGCTTTTTCCCTGGGCTTGCCACGTTTTTTCTGGGCACCCTGTGTAAACTTTGACTTACCGACACTGATGTTGAGTGGTTGTGTCAGGGTCCAAAGTTTCAACACTGTTTATTTTGATTCAAAGATTCCTTTGTGCTGTCTGTAGGGGCTCTGGCAATTAAATGTTGCAACAGAATAATCCATCAGCATTCAAAAAGCAAACATATGTAAACTCAGCTCGGCCAAAAAAACCTGCTTCTCCCATCTTTCTGGAAACCTATCCTCAATTCTCCCCAAAAATGCTACCAAATATATGTAGGGTGACCAGACAGCAAGTGTAAAAAAGCGGGACAGGGGTAGGGGTGTAATAAGTGCCTGTATAAGAAAAAGCCCCCCAAACCAGGGCTGTCCCTATAAAATCAGGACATCTGGTCACCCTAAATAAAATCGGGACATTTGGTCACCTTCTGCAGCATGCCCAAACCTCACTGAATTTAGGCTGTTCTGGACCAAAGCAGTGCCAGGGCCCTGATAAAGAACATACTGCTGGGAGTCCTCTATCTTACAATGCGGGGAATGCAATTCGAGTATTTCTGCTGATAATGCTGCAGCCGTATATAGCATGAAGAGGTGTTCTTCCTGTAGTATTTAGGGTTTCATCACCCAGGAAGTCTCTTAATTCTCTAATGACTTTTGTAATTGAACATTTCTGCCATATTTTCTCTCTTTAAATGTAGAAGGATCCTTATTGACACGGGAGAGCCAGCTATACCTGAATATATTGGCTGTTTAAAACAGGCACTGGCTGAGTTCAACATCTCAATCCAGGAAATTTTAGTGACACACTGGCACCATGATCATACTGGAGGCATATCTGATATTTGTAGAAACATCCACAATGGTAGGCAGAAGATTATAGTTTAATTTGACAGTTACTGAAGGGGCACTACTGGTTAGCTATGGGGACAGGGACCCTCTAACTAGAGTGTTCTGGAGGATTGTTAGTTTGACTGTGCACTTGAGATCTTCATGTGAGCTGTAGAGTGTATTTATACACTTGATGCTGATACAGCTCATAGTATGAATACAGTAAATAGTATGAATGTTTGGTTTAGATGCGCTCCAAAATGTTTTTTCATGTCAATATATACATAAGTATTTACATATTTGGAAGGGGAAAAGCCTCGTGCTGTTAATAGTCTTTTGTCTGTAAATGATGAGAGAGAAATTAATTTACCATTGATAATTCACCCAACAACAAGAGATTCCTCCCTGACTTAACACTGAGAATAATCAATTGACCATTATTTTCACTTGAACAACAAGTAAATAACTGGGTGAGATGGCTGGTAACCACTCAAATGGAAATTTTTGGTGAACGCCCAGACCCCAGATTGTGTAAGGTAGGGACACTTTGCATGTTTGTCCTTATCCAAAATAAACAAGATATCATATTGATAAACATTCAATGATGCTTTTTTGGTTAAATCTGTAAGCGGAGAAAGCTGTTTCTCTTCATACTTTATGAACAGTACAAAAAATGCAGCCCTTCTGTGTTTTGTGGGATATTGCCACAGGCTGAAACCTCACCAGATTTTTTAAACTAGCCAGAGTTACTTCCAAGGAGTCCCCAAGTGCTGCTGGAAATGGTGTTTGTGTCTTAATGAACAAGACGCAACTTCTCCAAATGAAACTAGTGAAATTTCATTTGGAGAAGTCATTTTTTGTTTATCCTCTTTAAAAAACATTACTGATGCAGAACACCAATTTTAGAGGTTTTCGTAGGTGTCTGAGTGGTCTTGTTGATGTAGATATGATTAAATGTTCCTTCATATACATGAGTTGTTATTGCAATAAACTTTTTTTATTCTTTAACTTTGCATTGAAATAGACTCATGCATAATGGTGCATCTACTGACATTTTGTAATTTTATGGGCCATCCATGCTAGCGACCTGAGATTAATCAGTGCTTAACTATGAATAGGGTACTACCAAATTCAAGGCCATGAAAAAAGCGTCATGGACCGTGAAATCTGGTCTTTTGTGTGCCTTTACCCTATACTGTACAGATTTCACAGGGAAGACCAGCTTTTCTCAAATTTTGGGTCCTGACCCAAAAAGGAGTTATTTGGGGGGGAGAGGGGGGCATGGTATTGACACCCTTACTTCTGCGCTGCCTTCAGAGCTGGGTGCCCAGAGAGTTGTGGCTGTTGGCCAGGTGCCCAGCTCTGAAAGCAGCAACCTGCCAGCAGCAGCGCAGAAGTAAGGGTGGCAATACCATACCATGCCACCCTTACTTCTGTGCTGCTGCCTTCAGACCTGGGTAGATGCAGAGTGGTGGCTGCTGACTGAGGGCCCAGCTCTGCAGGTAGCAGCGCAGAAGTAAGGGTGACCGTACCATCCCATCCCATCTTTACTTCTGTGCTGCTGTTACTGGCAGCAGCTCTGCCTTCAGAACTGGGCTCCTGGCCAGCAGCTGCTGCTCTCCAGCAGCCCAGCTCTGAAGGCAACGCCGCCGCCAGCAGCAGCACAGAAGTAAGGGTAGCAGTATGGCAACCCCCCTTCCCCCATACACACAATAATCTTGCATCCCCCCTCCCCCAGACTCCTTTTTGGGACAGGACCTCTACAGTTACAACACGGTGAAATTTAAATAGCTGAAATAATGAAATTTATTATTTTTTTAATTCTGACCGTGAAATTGACCAAAATGGACCATGAATTTGGTAGAGTCCTAACTATGAATGATCTAAAATGTAGTCTGTTTTTTTAAATAGGTTCCGAATATTGCATAAGTAAGCTTCCACGCACTCCACATCGTGAGGAAATAATAGAAGGAGAAAAGCTAAAGTATTCATACCTAAAAGATGGAGATGTGTTAAAAACGGAGGGAGCCACTCTCAGGTAAATGTTAGTTCTGTGCTAGTAGGCTAAGTCAGCTTTTAAAACTAAGCATGTTTTCCTCTCATACCTCATAATTCTGAAGTTACTATTTATAACTGCATCATAATTTAGCTCTTATTTTTAAGATAGCCAAAACAGTTGAGGAGATTCATGAATATGCCACGGTGGAAATTATTTTTTTGATATAATTGACTGGAGGGCTGCCTATATGTCAGATCCTGCACCACTTACTCATGCAGGTAGTCTTTCTGCAGCTGAATAGTATTGTTGAAGTCAAGAGGACCTACTTACGTGAGAGGGGATTACCTAATATTCGCTGGATCCAGCCCCTGATTTCAGCACTATCTAGCCTCCCTAGAAAAATTATTAAGGGTTCCCTAGATAAAACTGTTCCTTTGGGCAACCATCTATATTCTATAGTGTTTTATACAGCTGCCCATCATCATAGTTTCTGAGTGGCTTCCATGTAAAATAGATAATAACAAAGTCAATAATGTACTTCATGGATTCTTTGGTACTTGTCTCATTTCAAGGTAAAAAATAAAAACTCTGCTTGCAGTAAAGTTTTCGTTTTTTAGATTTGTATTAATTTACTTTTTGTTTTTAGGTTGAGTTTTCAGGATAACTTATTTTTTAATTAGTGGGTGTGGTGTTTTTTATTTTTGTTTTTTTTGTAGAAAGGTGATTCTCGAAGTTGTGGGTGTCATTCTTATGGTGAAAAGGTTTCTTCAAAGAGGATGCATGGGCTGTTAATCTTTTGAAACAATCTACACAGGGGGATTAAAACACTTGTAATTAAACCATATTTCTTGAAACGCCCTGTGTACAATTGTTCACTGTAGTTGGGAAGCAACAAAATTGCTGAACAACTAATTGAACAGTTTCAAACTGAAATGTATTTTGTGTTCTCAGTGGTTGTGATGAACCCTGTACAAAGGTATTCGCATCAGATTGCTTGTCCTGGTAATTCCTTCTAATATTAAAATTCCTTAGGCCCTTCTCTGTCCAGAATTCTCCCATCAAAATAATACTGCGCTACTGCTCCAGCCAGTTTTAAGGAGACAGCCTGCTTCCTTTCCTTACTCAGAGGGAGTGCCTTTCAAGTCAGTGGTGAATTAAACTACTTCAGTGTTGTAGAACACAGCAGTAGGCTGGCTGCAAGATCGACTGCAAGTAGTAAAAGATATATGTTTGAAAGCATTTCATATATTAAAAATAAGTTTTGGAGAGAAGAAAGATCAGCTACGCTAGGGGTAAAAAAAGGGCTTGCCGTTTAAATAATTACGTTTCTGAAGACATACCATTACTCCTAAGTTGGCCTACATAATGCTTGGACAGGATCAGCTCGTGGATGAAGAACAACAGGTTGAAGATGAACCAGAGCAAGATAGAGTTTATAGTGGTGGGCAGAGGAAAGCATTTTGAACTGTTGGCAGCTATGGTGCTGTCTCCTTTAGTTGAAGGCATCCACCCGCAATTGGTCAGTCCAGTCTATAGTTTAGTAATGCTATTGGATTCCTCACTGATGCTAAGCTCTTATATAGCAGCATCCCCAGGTAAGGCTTTAAACCATCCCTAGTTTGCTGGAAGACTCTGTCCCATCCTGATAAACGATGACCTGGCCTCACTTATTCATGCCTTCATCATCTCTCAGCTGAGCTACAGCAATGTAGTATACCTGGGCATAAAGCCTTCAACCCTTAAGAAAATCCAACTGGTACAAGAATACTGCATCATGTCTCCTCAGCAACATAAGCAATAGTGAACACATCAGACCTGGCCTCCACTCCCTGCGCAGGCTCCCCATAGAATATTGAATCGAGTTAATGGTCTTGGTCCTTATCTTCAAAGCGCTCAATGACCTAGACTTAGGAAATCTAAAAGATTGCCCAGAAGTCCAGGATGAAGACTATGATAGACAAATTTGCTCCTCTGGCCCAGTGGAACTTTCTACAATGGGGTAAAGCTCATCTATGCGGGAGACAGAGCTTTCTAAGGGGATGGCCTGACACTATGAATGAGCTCCCCGGGGAACTGAGGGAAATTCACAAACCTCACCCCACCTTCAGCTCCAAGTGCAAAGCACATTTCTTTGACCTTGCTTTCCCCAACATAAATGTGTATGTGTGTTTTTTTTTTTTTTTTTTTAAAACTTAAACAAAACCACAGCACATATTTCTTCTCCTGTGGAAAGAATAAGAAAACGAACCCCACATGACAGATATTAGTAGGGTGACCAGACAGCAAGTGTGCAAAATCGGGACGGGGGTAGGGGTAATAGGAGCCTATATAAGAAAAAGACCCGAAAATCAGGACTGTCCCTATAAAATCGGGGCATCTGGTCACCCTGAATATTAGCCATGTCGTGTAATGCACTAAAAGAAGGTGCTCAGATACTACAGTGATGAGTGTGGTATAAGGACCTATGTTATAGAATAGAATATTAGAGCTAATTATGTTTGCCAATTTGCATATATGTTTATGAAGCTTAAGAAAATGACCAGGTTAGCCCAAATCACATCATCTCTAAGCTGACATTTCATATTAACCCTCTTTCCCTAATAAGGATTCTTTTACAGAGGTTTTTTCTGGAGTACCATATTAAGTCATGGCTTTATCAACATTTGTTTCTGTCACATGTAAATGGTGTATATGTGATTGTTGCATAAAAATTTATTCATTCTTTCATTTAATAGAGTCTTATATACACCTGGGCACACTGATGATCATATGGCTTTACATCTAGTGGAAGAAAATGCTATATTTTCTGGTGACTGTATTCTAGGAGAAGGGACAGCAGTATTTGAAGACTTGTATGACTACATGAAATCATTGGAAATTCTGTTGCAAATGCAAGCTGACTTAATATACCCTGGTTGGTAGTTTATGTTTTCTTAATTAGATCTACTAGTTTATGTCAAATATTTTAAAATAGCTCCTCTAAGAATGTAAGAACTCTTACTACAGTCAAATAATATAGTATTTATATAATACTTAATTTATCTTATCCAGTGTTTAGCTATTATAATTAGCTAAAGGGCGTACAGCTTATTCTATTTAAGACACTGTGTGTGTGCTTGCCATGATGCTATCCATTTCTCTCATGAGCATTTTTGTATTTGAGTGAAACTTGTGGTTGTGAGAAGTGCAGAATTGATAGCTCAGAAAACCAGAATTTTCTGTTACACAATACATGCGGCAGAGGCAGCATCAGTGCAAGCTGCTTCACACCATCCTGCCACTGCATCTAAACCTGACTAAAAAGACCACCTATACAGCGGGGCGGGGGTAAAGGGTCAGTTCAGTATGTATAGCCCTTGAGTCCTTGGGTTCTCTAGTCAGATTACGGCTTAGAAAGCCAATTGTGGTCATGATTTGAGGTAGACAGCTGCCCATTACAAACTGGATTGAGACCATAAATTCATTTCATAGAGGCCACCAAGTTATCAATCAGATTATTATTTTAGTTAACGAACTATGCTGAATTTGATCCAGTGACCAAGAGGTCAAACTCCATATTCCATTAATTATCCTCTAATTTATTCAATCTCCTTGACTTTTCTTTTTTAATCTTGGAAAACATTTAATTTTCATATAAAATTATGCCTCTTTTTGGCAAGACTGAATTTAAAACTTACTATGTGACAGTAAGATTTAAGTTCCTTATTCTCTTTCAAGATGGCTTATCCTGGCTCCTGCCTACGTTTTCCATCTTCTCTTTTCATTCCCTTCCCCACACCCTGCATTTTTCATGATTAAATAACTTCAAACTCTTGTTTCTGCCTTCTTCATGAGAACGGCCATGCTGGGTCAGATCAATGGACATCTAGCCCAGTATCCTGTCTTCCGACAGTGGCCAATACCAGGTGCTTCAGAGGGAATGAATAGAAGAGGTAATCAAATGATTCATCCCCGGTTACCCATTCCCATCTTCTGGCAAACAGAAGCTAGGGACACCATTCCTGCCTATTCTGGCTAATAGCATTGAACTTACCTAGTTCTTTTTTGAACCCAGTTAGTATCTTGGCCTTCATAACGTGAACCTTCTATGAGTAGTTTCCTTGATTTAGTCTACCATACCTCCACTCTTTCTTCATTTGGGGGGAGGGATAGCTCAGTGGTTTGAGCATTGGTCTGCTAAACCCAGGGTTGTGAGTTCAATCCTTGAGGTGGTCATTTAGGGATCTGGGGCAAAAATTGGGGATTGGTCCTACTTTGAGCAGGGGGTTGGACTAGATGACTTCCTGAGGTCCCTTCCAACCCTGATATTCTATGTTCTTTGTTAAAATGTACTACTTCCAAAAGATATAATTTTTCATCTGTAGATCTTAAAGCACATTACCCTAGAGGTAAGATCATTATTCCTATTTTACAGATGGGGGAAGTAAACTGACTTGCCCAAGCTAACCAGTGGTAAAGCTGAAAATTAGATTCCAGGTGCTCTGAGTCACAGTCCAATACCTTATCCACTAGGCCACACTGCTTTCTGTGTAAGGTCTACAAACCATGTTCCTCTTCTTTGTTTAGCTTTCCTCATGCCAAAAGTATGTGTTAAATTCCACCTTTTCGTCACAATTCTCTTTCTCTCTTATCCCCCTCTCTGTTTTATTATCCATCTAGATTACAAATTCTTTAAGGCAGGAAGCTTGTGTTTCTGCTTATCTAAAGCACCTAACACGCTGCTGGCAATAGACAAATACATACACTAATTAAGATTCTAATAAAGCAATAGGATATTGTGCATTTTCAGGGGCTGATGGCCATAGGTATCCTGGTACAGCATTTTGAATTGGAACTAATTTTATTTCCTTAACCATGTTTAATAAAATATTTGTGCACTTCCATAAACAATAGTTATTCCTGAATCAGAGAGCAGTTTTCTATTACCACTATTGACTGTATTAAAATTGGTAAATTTATTATAGTAACTTTTTTGATTTGTGTTCAGTTTTATTCATGCTGAGAATCCTTTCTGTTTGACAGCCTTATTCTCCACCTTCCCTTTTCCTCTCTCACGCAACTCTCTCCCCCATACACACTCTCTCTCTCCTGAGTCTTCTCTTATTCCATCTGAACTCTGAATTAAATCTAGGAGGAGGCCATGATTCATTGCAACAACATGACCATTTGCCTGGTGTGAATGTCTTTATATGGATGAGGTTTTTTTTATTTTTTCCATATAACTTTTTATATTTAACATTAGTTTTTTTAATTGAATATACAATAGAACCTATCCACTGTTAGTGTTTTATAAATCTCCCTGGGAACTGATACTTTGGCCACCAGAGGGCTCTCTCACTTCTCTATTCATACAGCTTTTCTGCTAGGAAGTGTGAGTACTTTAAAAATTGAATGTCCATTATCAACAGACAAATCTTTCTTAATTTTAAGGTGCTAAACAGTATTAAAGTTAATATGTTCCAAGGAATATTTGAACTTAGACTCCCTAAAATGAAGAATTTAAAATGATGAAAATTAACCATTACCAAAATGTTATATACTAATACACTCACAGTTCTTGCAGTCTCTTAAATAAATGTACAATTGTATAGTATCACATTTTGTATTTAAAAAACCAACTTTAATTCTGTCCATATAGTCCTGGACAGCCCCAACTAATATTCAGAAATTCGGATAGTCTCCCACTTAACAACATAGATTTTTCCAATATTGACTGCCATCAAGATCTCAATTTTAGCCCTCCAAATACAGAACAAAGACTCTATCATTCCAACTTCTCATTGTAGCCATGACCACAAATTTCACATTTAAGCACCTATACCATATGAGAACACCATCCACTCTTCTGCTGTAAGGTAGAAAGCCCACTTGGAGTTTCACAGTTTTATAAAGAAAATTAATAAAGTGTAATTTTTTTCTAAGGTTTCAGAGTATCACATGAGGAGAGCAGAATTTCTCCTGTTAAGTAATAAAAGTTGACAAATGTTTTAGTTCCTTAACAGTATTAAATGGGGGAGGAAGAATGGCCTTGTGGTTAATCCTCTGATTTAGGATTTGTGGTCAATTCCTACTTCTGTCACAAACTTGCTGTGTGACTTGAGAATGTCACTTCTCTCTCTGCCTAAATTTCTCCTCTGTAATATATGAGTAATGATACTACTTCCAAGGAGTGTTACGAAAATAGATTCCTTCATTGTTGTGATGCATCCTAGTGCTATGATGATGGGATACATATGGGTATCTAGGGTGATACAAACCAGTGTTTGCATAAGGTCTAAACTATTAAAACATTAAAATACTTCCATTAAAATACACATATGGAATAGATCTAGAAATGTATTTGTAATTTTTTTGCAAGTCACTTAATAGATTTATTGATGGGGTGTTTGTGTTCAAATGGAAAAGAGCTCAAACCAACTATAAATCTGAGTGCTTGCAAAAGTTGGGACAGGTTTATATCCAGATTAGGTTCCAAATTTTTCAATTTTGACCCAGTGTCATAGACAGAAAAGTGTACATGTACGTGGTTGCTGGAGATGACCTGGTGTGCAGGATGTGTGAACCTTCCTGAACTTTGCAAAATTTTGGTTCCATTTTCATATCCAAACATTAGATCTCTAGCTCACTGGAGGTGGAGTGTGTTAAATCTTTTTCAAATTGAAATGATAGGTTTGTTGATAACTATATCTTGTGATTCAGAACTAAGGTTTGTTTTGGAATGCTTAATGTGACTTTTCACCACTGTAGGCTTTGAGAATGAACAATTACTGTATTACAGTCTCTATTCACTGTACCTTAACTGATCATTTCCTTTTTTTAAAAGTACACTTTTTACTAACTTTTTTAACATTAACATCATTAGTATGTTATATTTGTTTGTTTTGTCAAGCAAAATGAACTTCAACATAAGGATACTTTTTGTCTTGGAATTTTACTTTTAAAAGTAATATACTGAAAGCACACACATATTTCAACTAAAAGTTTTATGTGCATAAAATAGGCTTCACTGCATAGTATTAAATGCATAGGTCTGTATGTGGTGAAATCAATATATAAAGTTTAATGTACATAAACTTTTTGTGCTGAAAAGACTTAATTGATTTCTGCCAAACTTACAAGTTCCACCTAGTTGCCTGTCGGGCTTAAACTCTCCCTATACTCCCTACAAGACTTATTATCTTAGCATGGACTCCTTTTATGGTAGTCTTTATCATGTATGCGTCAATCACTGAAGAGGGCCAGTTCTTTTGTTCCAAACTGCCACTTCTGAGACAATGAGTCTGGGACCCATGGACCACACATGCACACCAAGTATAAATGCTACCATTGTGATATGACAGCATTTTGCACCCACTTTGCACCAGTGTCAATTACTACAGAGTGCCAGACAGTGAAGAATTAGGCTCCTAGTCTTTGGATTGTCAGGCACTTTGCACTACATCAGCCCCAGTACCTCCTAGGACACTGATTTCAGAAGGACTTGGGGAAGAGAGTGAAAAGTAAGTCAATTTTAAGTTATAAGGAACTGAAAAGTCATGGCGCTTAGTCATAATTTCCAAAAATGTTTCTTCGTTTTTGAAGTCCTAGAACTAAAACTTGGTTTGATCAATTTACTTAACTGTCTCAAAAATACAACTATAGCTGGAGAATAATTACAAAAATGTAGAGCCCAAAAGAACTTCAAAAGAAACTGTTTAATTCTGAGCACCCCAATAATTTTAATCTTATAAAAGAACCCGAGTTGCAGCCTTAACTATGTTAGCAACTATTATGTATGTGTGTATCTCAGTTCTGTACAATATACAGTACGTGATTTATCTGCCTCTTGCCACAAAAAACTCTAAGAATTTCCTTACATATTGGCAATTGATTTCTCCAGAAAGAAGGCATCGTTCAAATTATGTTTGCATATATTCATGTGTGTATTGTACAAACCAAAACAATTAAACTTTTAGTATTTTATATCATCAGGGCAATACCACAGATTCCTCAAAGTTCACTGCTTCATAGATAAAAATGATGATCCCTTTTTCTACTTTGGTTTCAAAGCACTTCTATAATTCCACTATTTGCAATTTGTCTTAATGTGTCCAAAATACATTTTATGCCAAATTTAATCAAATTTTAAATGGACAGTATATTACCTTTCTTGACAGTTCTTTATTCTTGCTCTATCAAATTCCAGTTTTTTTGATTGATGTCTTTTTATCATGCCTCTGAAAAATATTCATTGTGTTTTTAAAAAAAAAAAAAAACAGGCCAGAGCAGCATCCACCTTTTTCCTATTGTGTTGTCCTTTCCCCCTCAAATCTTTCCAGGTCTGTTGTTCTCTCTGCTCTTTCTTCTTTCCCATGTTCTAGCCTTTTAACCTGTGTACATACACTACAGCCTGTAAAGTGAAACTTGGCAATGATTCTATTGATAACCCTGTGGTCTACAGTGTGTCTAAAACACACTGTAATGGAGAATCAAAGATATACTGGCAGTCGGGTGGCCAGGTGCCCGGTTTTCGACCGGACTTTGGGGACCTGACAGTGTCCGTTCCGATCTACTGACCGGACATCCAAAGTCTGGTTATTGTGAGCGGGGGAGGCGCTGTGTCATCACTCACTCCAACCCCTACTCAGCAAGGGCTGCCTCCTACCTTCATTGGGCAGCTGCAGCTCCCAGCCCCGGTTCCACAGGCAAGTCCCTCCTGACTTGGGTGGAGATGGGAGGGGAAAAGCAGTGAGTGATGGGAGGGAGGGGGAAGAGGAGTGGATGGGGGCAGGACCTCAGAGGAAGAGGTGGGGTGTGGCTTAGGGAGAATAGGCTGGGCAGGGGTGAGGAAGAGACCGGGTAGGGGAGGTTCCCGCATTCCTGCTGGAGTGTCTGTTTTTTTAAATATTTCCACATTGGCAACCCTAACTGGCAGGGTGGGAAGTACAGGGATGCTGCTGCTTCCATAGGATTTGTAGGCTTATCAGAGCTTTTTACCAAAGTGAGAGGATATTTGTGAGCAAATTATTAAATAAGTTGTTTAAAATATTCTGTTTCTTATATGAAAAAACTCTTGTAATTGTGTTTGAATTTAGGACATGGCCCAGTAGTGCAAGATGCACGTGCTAAAATTCAAGGATACATTTCTCACCGAAATGCACGTGAACAACAAATCCTAAATGTTTTGCAGGAGAATGCTGGAAAATCATTTACATCAATGGAACTTGTAAAGATTGTATACAAGGTAATTATAGTTAAAATGTTATTAAATTGAACTGAAGAACACAACCTTAATTTTCAATTAAATAAATTCAACATGTTATGTGTTTGTATGTGGGCTTTTAGGCAGCTTCATAGTTAAGCAGAGCCACATTTGGCACTTTTTCTGGTCTAGTCATGTGCAGTAAAGGACTAATGTAGCAAAGTGCACACATGACTATAAGCATGTAAGTAGTCTCGCAACTTAAGTGCTTTACTGAATCTGGGCTTAAATTATTTTTATTAACTTCTACCTTTCATAATTATTTTTAAGCCTAGTAATCACACGTTCCTCATGAGGATCAAGAAAGTTTGTAGTTATAAAATAGATCAGAATGAACAATGTCAGACAATAACTAAACATATTTATGTCCAGGATTGGCGTCTCCTGCAAGGTATTTGAGAACTTGTAGTTGCATGCTCCCACAGGCTTCAGGAAGGTGCAGGCTAAAAACTGCTAGAAACCCTGTGTTCTGACTGCTTGCCATGGGGCAACAAGAGCTGGATCCTGTGACTTAAAGATAAAACAGACTGTACACTCAAAAGCCTATTTATTGATCATCAGACAGAGCCCTAAAGATGCTAGTCTCTCTGCTTACCCTTCCTCTCTTTATGGTAATTCTCAGAGTGTGGGGCATGCAGTATAGAGAATTCTTTCATGGTGTTGCTTACAGGAAAAAACTTACTCACTGAGCTGGGCTGAAGGGAAAGCGCAAGATGCAGGGAGGGCAAAAGATAGCGGCCAACCATCCTAATCGGACATGGGCTGTAAACATCCTGGACAGATTTACAAAGGGTTTTGGAAATGCATCTCAGGTGTTTCAAGTTCCAGTCTGTGTCCTGGAGACTGGGAACTACTGCAGCCTAGGAGGGATTTTTCTGTAATGCTGACCTCTCATACAGATCAGGCAGAGACTGCTACCTATTGTCTGTCTGAGCAGCTACTCTAGGCTGATGATTTTTGTGCAGAGTGGAAACTAGCTCAGAGCCAGGGAAGGGAGCCAGTAGCTCCCTCCCCCTACACATTGAGGTAAGTGGTAAGGGGGGATTAATCAGAGGAGCAGGGGAACTGGACGGTGGGGGATAATGATATCAAGGGGTAGAAAATTTGGGAGAGGTGGGTCCCCCATGTAATTTCAGAGAGGTATGGGGACAGGCCTGGGTAACGTACTCTGAATTTTAAATCCCCCCCCCCCCCTTTGAAGACAGGTATAGGCTGTTGTGAGAGGAACAGTTATATGAGGAGAGGTGGTTTCAAGAAGAGGCTCCATTACTTCAGGTAAGCATCCAGAAGCTGTGATGCTTATCAGAATCACAAACATTCTGAGGTTCTCCTATCACTAATTTATAATAATTTTTACAATGACACTTCTAAGTTTTTAATATGGAGATAACTGTTTTGCATCTCTGATATTTATTTTTAAAATAACTGACAATTTGCCAAGACAACAACAAGACAATTGGCCATTTAGATCCCACAAGATCTCTAACTTCCAGATCCATAGCATATTTGGGAAAATTCCCCTCAAATTTTAAGAAATGCTGGCAACTGTGGAAAAAACCTTGAGGCGTGGAAAGGGAATTTGATGTACAACTTGATGAAAACTGTCTGCTGTCATATTGCCTCTATATAAATCCATGGTACACCCACATCTTGAATACTGCATGCAGATGTGGTCGCCCCATCTCAAAAAAGATATATTGGAATTGGAAAAGATTCAGGAAAGGGCAACAAAAATGAGTAGGGGTATGAAACAGCTTCCATATGAGGAGAGATTAATAGGACTGGGACTTTGAGCTTGGAAAAGAGACGACTAAGGGAGGATATGATAGAGATCTATAAAATCATGACTGGTGTGGAGAAAGTAAATAAGGAAGTGTTATTTACTCCTCATACCACAAGAACTAGGCGTCACCAAATGAAATTAATAGGCAGCAGGTTTAAAACAAACAAAAGGAAGTATTTTTTCATACAATGCACAGTCAACATGTGGAAGTACTTGCCAGAGGATGTTGTGAAGGCCAAGACTATAACAGGATTCAAAAAAGAGCTAGATAAGTTCATGGAGGATAGGTCCATCGATGGCTATTAGCCAGGATGGGCAGGGATGGTTTACCTAGCCTCTGTTTGCCAGAAGCTGGGAATGGGAGAGAGGGGATGGATCACTTGATGATGACCTGTTCTGTTCATTCTCTTTGGGGCACCTGGCATTGGCCACTGTCAGAAGACCGGGTACTGGGCTAGATAGACCTTTGATCCAATGTGGCCGTTCTTATGTTGAGCTTCGTATTTGGCCAAATACTAATGTTCAAAATGGTTTATTTGTAATACATTGTCAAATTTGGGTATAAAGTTGGTCGGGAAAGAACATGGGGAAATTGCATGACGGGCTTTATCATTCTGAAACTCTTTTGTCATGAAATTTGAGTTTATATAGCTTGCATTAGCAAAATTAACTTTTTTCAATGCTGTGACTTTTTCAATAGCTTTGCAAATATTGTCGCAAACTAGGAGTAATAACCTTGGAAAAGTAAGTTTTCTAGCGCAGAGAGAGGGAGGGAACCACATTTATGAAGCTGTCAGTAAAATCTAAAGAAAATTTTCTAGCCACACTAACATCCCAGTAGAGGCCCAATTCACAACAGCACTTAAGCACATGCTATCCTTAATTAGTACATAATGAAAAAAAATGGGAGGGAAAAATATATTATTTAAACTGGAGATTTAAGTTGTATGACTTATTTCAATTCTTTGCCACTGCTGGTGGGAAGTTGAACATAAAAGGAAAATGAAAATCAAAAAAGAAAAATTATTAGCAGATATGGCATGACTATATATTCATTGTATTTCTATTTAGGAAACTCCTGAAAATTTACTTAAAGCAGCAGAAAATAACCTCACCCTTCACTTAAGGAAATTAGAAAAAGAAGGAAAAGTGTGTAAGTTTTTTTTTTTCTTTTTATAAATTATTTCTTAAGAATATTTTGTTAAATTATTTCCTGGAAATCACACATGGATAGTTTTTCATACAATTTTTGTAGTATTAGTAGTCACTCAGACAATTTAAAGTAGAATTAAATTAAAAACTAAGATGATTTAACATTAAGGATATCTAAAGTTCTGGAAAAGATCATATAATATCTTTGAGAAGGTGCCTGTGACGACAAATACTATCATAATGCATACATTCAAGAGATCAGAATTAAAGAACATACACATTACAATAGTATTTGTCATCACATGCAGTTTCTCAGATACATTTTATAATCTTTTTCTAATCTTTTTCTAAAAGTTTAGATCAGCTGTGATTACATAACTAATGACTTTTTTTAGGCATATGTTACTGGGGGCAGAGTAAAAAATTGTGTAACCTTATCTTTTACATTTCCTGACTTTATAGTAATTAACTGCAACCTTAATGTTGTATTAATTTAGGGTTTTTTGCATATTACTTTCAAGTTGTTTTAAAATGGTCAAGAAAATGTCCCAGTTCTGTAATAAGACCCAGTAAGAAAAGGCCAAGTAGTCGTTATCAATGTCTTTAGAAAACTAGGCACTTGAACGGGCGTTAGCCAAAGGCTAACAAGCATATGTACCAGTATATAAAAATATAAATGTGTACAAGTGAATAAGCTATCAGGGTTTGCTGAGTTTTAAATAAAGGCATTTAGCCCAATTTTCTTCACATTTGGATTTTTTAAAGTGATAAATAAAATTTGAAGAAATAGTTTTGGTATCATTTTAAGTTAAAACATCTGAAGATAGAATTTTTAAAAAGGAAGCACTTAAGTCTAAATCATGTCTTCAAGCACAATCGTTGCTTTGGTGCCATAACTGTAGGGGCTGAGGAGGTAGTACTATGAACCATATTTTGTGCATAAGAGAGATGCAAGCAGAATGCAGTAGGGCAGGGGTTCTCAAACTGGGGATCGGGACCCGTCAGGGGGTTGCAAGATGTCAGCCTTCACCCCAAACCCCACTTTGCCTCCAGCATTTATAATGGTGTTAAATATAAAAAAAAGTGTTTTTTTTAATTTATAAGGGGTGGTCGCACTCAGAGGCATGCAGCGTGAAAGGGGTCACCAGTACAAAAGCTTGAGAACCACTGCAGTAGGGCATCATTATGATCCCTTGAGCTCACTACACCTTTTAAATGGTGTAGCATGTGTTCTCCTATCCACTGCTGGACACTAGCAAGCACACTGAAGATAGGTCCTGGACACTTTACAAACTTGGCTGAGTAAGACTCCTTGGGCCTTATGTGCTGTTGACCTACTAACAAGTCCCTCCCTTCCCCACCCCCAAAGCCTCAGCTGAGGTAGCACAATTAACAGGATATTTTCTGGGGCTTGTGCAAATACCCAAAGACTAGATGAGTAGAGGGTTCCTTTTCCTCTCCTAGGAGGAGCCGCAACTTGCCCATTAATAAGCTGTGCACATATGCACAATAAATCATTTTAAATGTACATCTGTCAATTTAATATGTTCTGTTGTGCATGCTCAGTGTGTATCTTTCAAACAATCAAAAGTTGTTAAAGCCAATTTTTTTCCAAGTAAGAATTTTTTCACACTTCTTAGAACCATAAAAATTCACCTTTTGATAAGCGACCAGGGACACTGAGCTTCAGTCAAAAAAGTCTATGCTTCAGAAAGAAATGAGCATCTAAAATTGTTTGGCAGCCTTAACAATTATGGGTTGTACCAAATGCTGGCTAGAATAATTCTTGTGACTCTTTCTTCAGTATGTTACTTTTGATGCATATAGAATTAATTTACATTTTCCACCTTCTTTGGAAGAATGAAAAAGATGTTTTCAAATCCCTTATCCATATTGACTATTCTTGTGGGAGGTTGAAGGGGGGAGTAAAGTTGAAAATGTAAGAACTGTGGTTTTTTGCTTGCTGATTTGTACACTTTGATGCAAGTATTAACTTTGTAAGTTCTAAATAGACCTTAGATTTGTGATACACATGACAGCACTATACCTTTGTCAATATTTCAGTTCAGTTTAAGGATTTATATTAAGAAAAATACATATTATTGGTCCTGAATGAGTGCTATACAAGTCCTTGCATACTCATACCACTGATCATTGACCTTTGACTTTGTTTTGGTACAAAGCCATTTTTTAATACAGTTTGGGGTACCGTATTTCAAATTTTGGTCTGTTCTTAGGAAACAGTAGCTGCAGTCAAATGAAAGTTTCTTCTAACTTTCACAAAATATTTGTCCAAAGAAACCTCTTGTTAATGTGCAGCACTGAATATGTCTAGCATATTTTGTTCCATTGTTATGAAAACTAGAACAGTAATTTGGCACATGTTCTGTTGCCCAAAGATTCTTAATATTCAGAAATTCCAGTATGTTTTCCTTTAAGTTTTCTAATTATATTCATTAAAATTTGTTCTTAATATGGTTTATATCCCTAGAAGTCTGGTTTTGTTACAGTTAGCCAATTTGTGAATGTTTAACAACCTCCAGTAAATCAAACACTTAACCTTAACCTTCAGTATTCAGGTGGACGGCATTGTGGCTTTAAAATAAAATCTCCTAGTATGCATGCACAAATGGATTTTAAGATATATGGTGTGACAACTTCATGTGTCTGAGGTTAGAATTAAGCTTCCTGAGTTACTTCATTTTGCTAATATTTTCCTTTTCCATAGCAAAAAACAGTGTATATTTAGACCCAACAATGATAGCTTTGAGTGACTAACTTAGTTAGTTTTACTTTACTTTTTTTTTTCCTTAACAGTAAATGAAAAGTCTCCCAACTCCAGATGGAAAAGCAGTTTGTAAGTGTTGCAAGAAACAGAAACAAGATTGTGTATTCTCAAATAAATACCTAAACACAACCTTTTTATATAAATACATGGACTTGTGTATGCAGAACATTGCATGGAGTATTAGAGGAATCCAAAAGCACTCTGCTGTTATGTAAAATCAGAACAACATTTTTGTTTGGGGAAAAAAATAAATTACATAATTCTGCTGTCTTAAATACATTTCATGCAATCTAGTGTTACAAAGTACTCAGATAACTAATGATTGTCATATTCCGTCTGATGGGGATTGAAAAAACTTGTATATTCAGTTAGTCAAATGAAGTTACTGTGAACAGCTGTATGTTATCTCTTTTTTTTGTAAAGTTGACTTTCTGTTGCCAGTGACACAAAACAGCTAGTAAAGGTACTACTATAATATAAAGTAATTATTGATGACAACTGTAGTGCAAAAACTGATTGTGAAGGCAGAGTGCCTTTCATGATGACCTATTTTCACTTGTTCATACTAGTGCAAAAATGACTTAGTTTGGGATTTGAGAGTGCTCAACCCTTCTGAAAATCCAGCCACTTTTATTAAGGTACTGTATCTAAGTATTGATTTTTGGAGCCTGATTTTAGATACCCAAAGTTGAAATTTTTGGCCCCTATGTGGGCTGTTGCTATTTAATATAGAAAGATTCCGTGTAAGAGATAAGTGAGCAAAAAAAGTACTTCCAGCTTTTTGTAGTCTCTGAGGAAAAACCTTTCCTAGCAGATTCAGTATAAGAGGCTACTATTAATTTTAAACTATTCATGCCAGTTAAGACATGTATGTTTTGCTATGATTTTATTTTATTAAATGCAAACAGAAAACTTTGTATGTGCAAATGAAAGAGTCAGATTATACAATCACATGACTTTTAAAAATACTATACAGATAATTATTAGAGATGTATTGAACACTAAGCACTTGAAGTCCCAGGTGTTTGCCAATTTTAAATATTGATTTATAAATTCTGCCCTGAGTTACCTACCAACGTCAAATAAATTACAAAAGGTGAAACAAGGCAAAATTTGACTGTAAGACTCTATATACTGTCTGTGATTAAAAAATACAGTAGAAAGTTTTAATCGAAGATAATGTTGGACCTGAATTTCAGTTTTCTGTGTGGCTTAAACTTTTAAACTAACTGAACCTGTAAATATTTGCACTACTGTGTGTATTCAAAAAGTACATAATGACCGTGTGGTTTCAATGTACCTTTTAATCCTGGCACAAATCTTGTTTTGAAATCACTTAATATGGAATACAGATACATTTATCTTTCATGCCTATGTTCTTGGGAAAGCCTTTACAGACTTTTTAAATGGTTCAACCCTATATTTTCATATGTGGCATGCACACATTTGGTCAGGTAGGTTTTTTTATTTAGGCTTTAGAAGTTGTATTGTTCCAATGTTAGTTGACAGCAAATACACATGGATTATAGACAGGGTGGATTTGATTTACATCACTAGTCAGGAAGACTCGATTTCACTACATAAAAATGCATTCTTGTTGGTTGTTATAACCTTAATACATATTCTTCACAACTCAGAGATGTACGTTCCATTTTTAGAAGGTTCACACTATACATTTTTAAGTGATTTACTTTGAAAACTTTTTAGATTAGTTTTACAACTAATCAGAAAATGAATGATTGTATGGTTATTTCATTTACCAAAGATAATTGAAGCAGATATTTATGAAGTCATTGGGAGGTGAACTATCTCTAGTTCAACAGGTTAATCATTAATATTTGGAGGATTTTTTTTTTGCCATGCTGTATTAGGAGGAGAACATCACCAGACAGACATTTTAAATTGTTTTATTTAACTAAAACAACAACATTATGTATTCTGGATTTTTTTCCTTCAACAGCAAACATATAATATTTTAACAAAACAAGCATATGAATTTTTGAATTTAGTTAAACATTCAAGTTTTCTAAAATCAGGTTTTGATTAAAATTGTTTTTGACTAAAATAGTTACATGAAATATTTTTAAAAAAAATTAAATAGACTGTCAGCCAGGTCAACATGAGAAACTTAAAATATGGACTTATGCAGCTAACTCAGTCGTCTTCACCTTTATTTTCCTGTTTGTTCATAATCTGGAAAAGAAAAACAAGCTTTCCTGCTTCTTCTGGTCCCAAACAATTTCTCAATTTGAAATGAATTAGTCCAAAGGAAGAAAATATTCTTTCTTACACTGGCAGAAGAGGCTACTGCTGTTAAAAGTGAGATTATCATTTCAATAGTCTCTGAATCCAAGTGCTTAAGTGACTTCCACCAGTTCACTGGTGTGACTTTCTTTAAAACATCATCAACAAACATATATTTCTTGGTTCTTATTCCCAAACTGGATCTCTTTTACGGTCTGCTGCCATTGTAGGTTTTCCCTTCTAGTGAGAGAATGGTATAGTAGATCTCAAATCAATGAAGGCTACACTCAGAAAGACCTCAAGACTTCTGGAATATGCTGCTCAAAGTTTCACTTTTGTTTCTACTGCCTGTCCCTCCCTTCTCACATTTATCTCCAGACGACTTCTTCTTTTCCAGATCTGTTCCGCCCCCAATAATCTTCTATTCATTGAACTTTTTGAAACTGCACTTTTAGAGAGAGGTAAGGGATTGACTCTGTACACAAATTTGCAGGGGGTACAATAGGGTTGAGGTCTGTGACTTCTCACCTCTCTATATTTTATTTATTTAAAAACATTTTTGCTATTAACAAGCATGTTATCTCTGGAGACACAAATCCACAGTTTGAGAACTGCAAAACTAAGCATCTCTGATGGTATCTTCTACTGAGCACTGAGTACCATTGGGTAGATAGAAAGATGAACCTAAATCTATACAGAAGCCCCTGGAACCTCATAAGATTGGGTCCCTAATCCATGAACTATTGGAACTCATTTACAAAACTTTTCTTAAACATTACATACATATATTCTCATACTATAGAATTAGAATTTATAATCCCTATTCCATGATGAGATATCTTTGAGCTATAATGTATCTTCCTTTAGATAGGGTTTTTTTCCTCAAAAAGCATTTTATCAAAAAATCCAATTTAAATAAAAAATCTGATTTTTTTTAATCATTGATTTTTATCCATCCTGATTATACAGAAAACAGCAGAAGGTCATTTTGTTGCTCCGCTCTTCTGAACATAATATACTAGGTGAAGTCTCACCAGAGCCAGTATGGAGAAAAAATGCTACTTCCTTGCTCTGCGGAATGATCCTTTTTGTGTGGGCAAACTGTATTGGATTTTTTTACAGCCAAATTGTACTTGCCTGTTCAAGTCTAACTTTCGATCCATTATCATTCTTAGGTCTTCAGCATTACTGCTTTCCAAGTTTCCAGTCCCTGTATGTTTGTGCATTGAATTGAGTTAGCTAGTATTTTTCCAATTGAATTATTTTTCTGTCCATGTTTCTAATTTGTCTCGGTTCTTTTGAATTCTTTCTTTTCCCTTTCTGGTGTTTGGAATTCCTCAATGTACTATGTGTGAATTTCTACTTACTGTTTGTGGTCCTGTTATTCTGTAGTTATTTCATGAATTTGTGCCCATTTGTTCCATTGCTAGGAATAGAAATTCAATATATGGATTTCGAGGATCACTTTTTTCCTTTTTATTTTTTTGAAAACTTCATTTGTTTTTTTCCTAATCTTTTGAAACTTCCCAGTTATCTGAATTTCATTTCAGAAAATAATGGTCAATCGTATATAGAGTAAGTTCATTAACTAATTCTGTTAATACTGTAGGGTCCATATTTTCCAGAGTAGCTAATTTGTATATGGTCAAATGTTCCAAGTATTCCTTATTTCTTTATCAATAACAGGGTTTTCTTTCCTATTTAATCAGTTTTATATATTTTCTTTATTGATCATTATTTTTAGAAGTAATATTAGCCATTTGCATCAATTTCATCTCCACTTATTAAATGATCAACTTTCTCACTATTATTTTCCCTAGACAGCTTAGATTTGTAAATTTTCACCCTTATCTGGCTAGCATTAACTCATCCTGCCTCCCTGCCCCCCTCCCCCTGCCTTATCTTGCTGGAAATATGAAGCTACAATCTACTGTGATTCTTTCATTAGGTATTAAAGGATTGATACTCATGGCCTGAAGCCATGACTTTTGGTCATAGTGGTCTCTCTAATTGGTGTCTCTCCCACATCCCTAGTCTTACTACGAAATAGCTGGTTCAATTTCAGGAGTTCCATATAGGTATTGCAGAAGTTTAAAAAATGTTTTACCAGTAAAGCTGCATCTCCAAGATGTGGATCTGGAATTATCCCCTCTTCCTTTTCTCACTTACCACCACCTCTTTTTTTCCCCAACATTACGAACAATATGTAATTGTTTGTTGCACACCAACTATTTAATCATTCTTAACTTAAACTCCGTGTTCCCAATGTAATGAGAGTTATCAGTAACTGATTTGCTTAGTCTTTAAGGATTTCTAACACTCCTGTTTATTTGAATGTTGTGGAAGGTTCAAATGGGGAGTCAGAAAGAGGGGAAATCTTCTGACACCAAAACACCGTTTGGGACTTTTACTTGTCATTCTTGTGGTTGCAGTGAATGATTACTTTGTAGAACCTTCTGTCACACTGTCTGGCGTGGCTCACAACTGTGAGTGCCTATCTCAGGACAGACTGCCAGAAAACAGGGCAGATTTCCCAAGATGGTGGTGTGTTCTATAATAGATTTCACTATGCTGGTAACAAATGTAAACTCCTGGATCACTATACCAGTCATAGCCTGGAAAGTCTAAGGGGACAGTCTGTGACTTCATGGTATTTTGCCACCCAGACAAACTGAACTTTGTGGTAAAAGATTATTAAAACAAAAAATCACACCACATCCCAAGAGACTAGCCACTTACCCCAGATCAATTGGCACTCCAGATCTTACACCAAAGACAACTCTGGCAGCCAATTCTGTAGGAAACTAACTATAAGTTTATTAGCT